TGTGTGTGTGTGAGTGGAGCGAAATAGCTCAGTGGGTAGCGGGAGGTTCGGGTTCGATCTCCGGACCGGCCATACTGACCGACATTTTCATCAGCACCATATTATAATAACAATAATAATATCATCCTATCCTCCTAATTGATATTCAAGGTTAACAACCTTGTCCTAACAAAGGGAAACAGCCGAACGTCTGATCCACATAATTCCACAGGTTGATCTGTCCAGAATAGAAAACAACTGGGCCTCGGAGAGAGAAGTGTGTTGCGTGGTCAATAGTGGCCCGTACGCGAATGATGATGATGATGATGATATAATAATATATCACATATATTACATAATCAAATATATTCGTGTACTACACTTTATTTGATGTGTTGGTAATGGGTCTGAAATTGTAGCAGTGTCAGTTTACAATTTTTATATAATAGGAGTAGTAAGTATCAAGTGTTTAGTCACAACGCGATACTGGAAGTAAAATGTTTATTTGAGCCTTTGCCATTTATCCTCGTAATCACAGCATATTGTGCACTGATGTTATCGTACTTCTGAATTAGTTGTGTGTCCATTGTGAGACGCAGAAGGCTCATGCAGCGCGCTGAGCTCCGCAGTGAGAGGTGGCCATGGGTCGCTACAGGACGTGTCTCTACCGTCGTCGAGCGTTTTTGTTGTGTTTCGTAACTTCATTGCTGCTCTCGCAGAATAGGGCGAAACGAAAACACACTTCCAAGGCCACAAGAAGAGCCTTACTGCTTCCTTCTTTGTCTTGGAAGGTTTGTTGAAAACCTTGCTGCAAAAGCAACACTTATTATGTTTCTTATAATAATATAATCGTTTTCACGACTTTTTTTGATTCCGAAATTTCCCATGGCGTCCTCGTGCTGTTGTGATATAATTTTGTTGTCTGCCCTTCGTGTCCCTCAGTGGCCCGAACTGAATTGCTAAAAATATGTATCCAGAATGCAGATATCTTAACAATACGTAAAACCGCACGGAGATGTCGTAATCTTTCCACTGAAAGGTATAACAGAAGATAAGCTAGAAATATTTTATATTAATATTGTTTAAATAATTAAGAACACTATCGCAAGGAAACTTCGAAAACTGACTGTGACATTCATCCAATTCACAGTGAACTACAGCTGCAACAGCACATACTTTCTCGTATAAATTCTAAATTTGCGACATTGAGAGAATAAAACAAAAATGAGACCTGCGCCTTTTTCTTAAGTGCCCCATTTTTTTATGAATAATTTTAAAAATATTCTTTCGGTTTTTGAGAAATTAAGTTTTTTCAAAATTCTATTAATTTCAAACAGAATGTACGGGAAAACGACTCGTTTTTTTTAAATATGTTCGTGACCTTTTTTAAACAGCTTATTTTTCTTAACAGATTTTGTTTAAGGCAATAATCTCTATCTTGAACTTCGCAGTTTTGAAATATTAGCTTTTTGCAATTTTCCAAAATTCCAATTTTCCAAATCCGAGTTCGCCGCAAAGTAGACTATCACCAATTTCTTTACCGGACTTTCATACACGTGAAGAGAAAATTTATCGAAACCTTTCGAGTTGTTTTTGAGAATATGTTTTTAAAAAAATCTCACATGAATTTGTTCTTACATAAATACGCGAAAACTAATCATATTTTCGAAAGTTGTACATGACCTTATTCTAAGATGTCTTTAAAGAAAATATTTCATTCAGAAAAAACAAAACATCTTCAATATTGTAGTGTAGTTATAGCCAATACTGTAATTCTTTTAAAAAAATCTACAATTTCCGAAAATCCAGATATACTAACGGGAGTGAGACCGTTCTCTTACGCGTTGTTTACGCTATCAGAGGGCGAATTTTAACAAAAACAATTGGAGCCATTTTTAATAAAAGTGTGAAATTGTTGAGATTTTCTATAATGTACCTCTAAAATCGAAATATCCTTTTCAAATTCAGAGGGCTTTCAGTTCTTTTAAATCGTTTGAAATATATCAGTTTTGGAGGAAATCGGCTGTACGGTTAAGGCGCTAACGATTGACCATAGTTTGACAGACGGTCGAACAGACATTTTGCCAGCAGTCGACTGTTCGGTATCAAGGACCCACAAAACATGGCCAGGCAATAAAACGTTTTCTGCCGAAAATTTGTCGTTCCAGCGCACTATTACAATACCTTCTCTTGTTATGAAGTAAGGGCGAGAAAGTAAAAATCGTCTCCTTAAGATAGGACATTACGTTTGTTGAAAAAACGATTATTTTTTGCGTAATTACTTGGACTATTACAATTTACGTATAATAAACATTTTCTCGAAAACCTCTCCAACTTTTTCCCTTAAATTCAGGGAAACAGAACAAGGAACGCTTGATAGAATGGTGTAGGTCTCATTTTCCTTGATCTCCGTGAAGTTTTGAAAATTGTGTGATGGAAATAATGAGCAAAACAATTATATTTTTATGCTGTGGCCAAAGTTGGTATGTCAAAACGGCGGCTTTGTGTTGGGGTAAGGTGCACGGCGAATTAACTCGAAGAACCTGGGATCGAGTCTTGGCAGGGAAAAAAAGGTTGATTTTCCTCCGCTTTTTCTGGTTCATGAAGTAGTATAATATTGCGTATCCGTCACAGATAATGACGGAAAGTAAATACTGTTGTAGCACCATTAGTTTATTCTTATTCTCTTGTCTGGTCTTTTCGATTGACCTAGTTGCTTTTTGGGGGTGTTCTTTAAAACTGGCCTTTTCACTTCTCCGAACAGATATTTCTAGCGATTTTGGAAAACGTGTTGCAAAATATTTTATTTTCAATGTTTCTTGCACTTGATGATACAATCATCTGGAGAAAATTCTTCATTACCATTTTGCTTGATATTACTAGTTCTTCGCTCGCTTGATGTTTACTTCAACTGCCAGACCATCAACTGGCATACAGCATCACCTACTCTGTATGACGCGAAAGAAAAATATCAACCAACAATATCTACCAACACTTGAATACATTGACTTGAAATTTTCCGAACCAAACGAAGTGCGAGAGAGGTTCCCCTGAATGTATATCAATAATTGTGAGGTGAAATTTAAAACTTATAATGAAATTAGCTACTGCTCTTGAATTCAGTGTATTACCCTTTATTCTTAACAAAGAGAGGTTCAAGTAAACATACCCAGGCAATATACCCATATTCAACCACGATCGTTTCAGATAACAAGCCAAGAGACTTACCGCGACGCGTATAACCGGGTTACACAACAGCTCCATTTCTGGAGCTGTAATGAATTGTTTATGTTGCGGTAATTCCAACACACTACAACTCATATTTACGCGAAAACTAATAATATTGGGAAGCAAAATGGAACATGAAATGATTTAAAGATCTCATTCTAGATTATATCCCATTAAGAAATCAGTCTGCAATTTCTATAATAAAGGCTTAATACTAAAAAAGTTAAAGATAATGTGAAATTGTGTTTTGCAATTTTCGGACTTCCAGAGGTGTTTAATGAAAAGCGGAGTTATGCGTATTATTAAGCGAACTTCGGTGTATTGAAGCAAATAATTAAAGTGGGAAAAATTGAGTTATTTTAGAAATTCCTGTTTAAGAGTTTTCTTAATTTCTCATTGCTGCTGCTGCTGCTGCTACTGCTACTACTACTACTACTACTACTACTACTACTACTACTACGAGTACTAGTACTACTAATACTACTTCTGTTTCGTAGTAAGCGTAAGTTGTGCCACGCAGAGGAAAAAAGTTCCGATTTTTCGAAAACAAGAAGAAAAAAAACAAACACGTTTAGTGAGATTCTGATACGGATTTTTCCTTTCTCTTTTTGCTTTCTCGTTCACGCAGTGAACGATACTTTGTGGGCCCTGATGGTACCGTAGAAGTGTTTTTTTTCTAAAGTTGTCCGTCCATCTGTCTGTAGGTCTCTCTGTCTATCTCTCCATACGTCCAGTACGCCCAATTCGTCGCCCATATTTCCACCAAAACAGCGGCATCTATTTTTTGCGCCTTACAGACTTTGCACTACACCACGTTTACGGTAAAGTAAAAATGACTCGCCCTTTGAAGGAGCAGCGTGTGACCGCGCGTGGTGCGTGTTGCGTGTTGCAGGGGCGGACCATGCGGAACTCGTCGCTGCTGAAGTGGGCGCAGGCCGGGACGAGCGGGAAGAGCAGCTCGTCTGCGTCCAGCGCCTCCGGCAACAGCGCCGTCAACGGCAGCGCGCAGGCCAACAGCGGCGGCGGCGCCGGCGCCCACGCCGCGGCCAAGGATGGTGAGTGTTTGCTCTTGCTGCGTCTGTGCTAGCTTCGACACTTTGACGAGGCAATCTTAGAAATAACGATGTACAGGATTATAATGTGATTTTAAGGACAAAACAATACAATACACTAGCTAGATATGCAAATGAAAGTTCTATAATAAGAATATAAATTAATTAAAATTATATAGTCAATACAATTAATACTGGAATTCAATGGGGTGTTGGCCCACCCTTAACCTTGATGACAACTCTCCCAGGCATAATTTCATTCAGGTGCTGGAAAGTTTCTTGGGGAATGACAGCCCATTCTTCACGGACTGCTGCACTGAGGAAAGGTATCGATGTACGTCGGTGAGGCCTGGCACGATGTCGGCGTCCCAAAATCCTAAAGGTGTTCGACAGAATTCAAGTCAGGACCCAGTGCATGCCAATCTATTACAGGAATGTTATTGTGGTGTAGCCACTCCGCCACAGACATGAATAAGTGCTCGATCCTGTTGACAGATGCATCCGCCATCCCCGAATTGCGCTTCAACAGTGAGAAGCAAGAAGGCGTTTAAAACATCAACATAGGCCTGTGCCGCGATAATGCCACACAAAACAAGAAGGGGTTCAAGCCCCCTCCATGAAAAACACGACCACACCATAACACCATTTTGGACATGTCCGGATACTTTTGATCACATATTGTAAGTCCATATTGCATTTAAATAACACATTACGTCAAAGGAATAATATTTTGAGTTAAATTTAACGCTAATAATTAGGGGCGGATTTTGATGATCTAAAACATTGCCAAAAATGATCAATAAAATGCTCACAAGATGTTTAAAACGCTCTGCTAGCAAAGAAAAATGACGTAAAAATCTTGGACTTCACAAGGAAATCTCTTTGTTTATCGCGAAATCGACCGAACTGACTATGGCTTTGATATGTGTCACAGGAACCTTAGATTGCATAGTACTCACAGATACAGTATATGAGTTAAGAAATCGAACAGCTTAATCAGGAATTTTCAGGTGAATATTTTTTGCAAAGTTAATATTGTTTGAAGCAAATACCATTAATATGATATTAAAATCGATGAAATCAGCGATAAATGCATTACAAATGTAAAAACAAAAGAAATTACTTATTAATTGAAATTGACGAAAAATGCAAAACAAATGACATAAACACGAGTTATTACCTTTTGTCATAACATAAAATTAATTTCTATGGTAAACGACACTGTTCCAAAGTGAAAAGTTACTTGTGGTGCAACAAAATGGCACAGACTTTCTCGTAGTAGAGTTGTCTAATTTCCTTGGTGTGGACTGTCTGCCCCATCCTCTTGTCAGCTGTCATCTATCGCCGCCCAAAATGCCTTTTTTGTTATATTATCAATTTTTCGTTTTCCTAATAGTAGAACGGAAATATTACTTTAAGAATATTAAAGATGAGTAAAACCGCGTCAAAAATTGAAAAAATGGCGTTTAAGCGTTACTGTAAATGCGAATTGCGCAATTTTTATAAATTCTGAGTTAACCGTGAAAATCGAACATATTACATCTTTATAAGTTATTTCACTCTATTTTTACAAGAAATTTAAAGAAATAATTTGGAGCCGTTAATGAGAAAATTTTGATAAGTTCCGGGGTTTGATGTAAAGTATCCGAAATTTTTGAAGAAAGTTTTTCAAAATCACAGCGCCTAGAATCGAGGCAGATAGACCTGGGAATATCCATTTTCGAAGAAATCGTACGTATGGTTTAGGCGCTAATGACAGACGGACGTACAGACAGACGCACGGACGTGTTGAAACAAAACACAACAACACTTTTTCGGTATTAGGGAATCCCATGACATGTATTTCCATTGAAATCTCGAAATCGATTTTCCGCAGAATTACATAACTTTATCTATACTGCGTATACACTCCGTATGTACGTACGTATTCGAAAAAGTAACGCTACAGAATGGCACAGAGATTCTCGTATTAGTTTTTTTTTTATTTTCTGTGTCTCGGCTAGCTATTCGGACTTGCCACATACTCTTGCCAACTGCCATCTATCGCAGCCCAAAATTTAGTTTTTTTAAATTTCGTCCTATATGTCAATTTTCTTTGAAATTTTTAAGAAATTGGTGTTTAAGCGCTTCTGTAAATTCGAAGTTTGGAGCTATTTTTAACATTGGAGTTTGGAGCAACATTTCAAGCACTTTAACTCACAAATACAATAGTGTTTACAAATTACTGCAACTATCCATATTAACTGCGTGGAAGACCTTTCAAACAAATTAAATTTGAGTAATTTTTTTTTTAAAAAAAGAGAATACCCTAAAATAAACATTACTTCATATTAAAGAGTGTAATTAGCAATATGTCTTTAAAAAGGTTGAAGATAAAGTTTGGAGACTTTTTTGAGAAAATGGTGTTTGAGCGTTACTGAAAATGCGGAATTTTGTGCTTATTTTCAAAGAAAACTGTTGTGTTTTTGGGAAACTTTATCTGGCTTATTTAAAAGGAATGTATTCATAAATACATTAATGTAAACAAATCGCCGCTAATGTAAATAGTAAGGACGTGAGAGAAAAGTAAAAAATACTTTTTTGTAATTTGTGAAAAAAACAATAGAATAGAGGAAATGGTGTTTTTGTCATCTTATAGAGTGCATGTAACACAATCCCGACCAGTATTTTAAAGAACAAATGGAGCCGTTTTTGAGAAAATATTGAATTTGTTATTTTTAAAAATTGCAAATATTGCGCGAAAACTACTTAAGTTTGCAAAAAATGTACACGTCCTTAATAAAAGAACTAATTATGAACAAAAAATTCATATAAAGGAAAAATCTGGGTCTTAAATTTCATAGTTGTAGGAACACACCGAAAAAAATTCATACTTTTGAAATTTTCGAAAATTTAGAGTAAACTGTTACAATCGAATCTCTGCCACCTTTAAAAGTTTACTCTACTATATCCCTACACGCAATTTAAAGAAAAAATCTGTAGCCGTTTTTGAGAAAACGTTGAAAATGTCCGGGAGACGTCTTGTAAATTACGCCCTAATTTTAAAGAAAGTTTTTCAAAATTTCAAAGCTTCGACTCGAACCTTAGTTAGGCGCTTAGTTAGGCGGTAGTGATGTACACAGACGGACCGATGGACAGACCGACAGAGAGAGGACACACGGACGGTTTAAAAATAAAAACTTGTTCGTTATCAGGGGAGCGCAAAACGCGTATTCCGTTGAAATCTCTAAATCTGAAAATTTTCGCAGTATTACATAACTTTCCCTATGCATATACGTATATATTATATACGTATACGAGAAAGTAAAAATGACATTTCATTAAAATCCGCCCGCTAGTAATAACTCAATTTCAGAGCAATTGATGGTTAGCCCCTTGTTCTACTGAGCCCTTCAATTAATTTTTTTCGATGCTTCATTTCTCTTCTTGCGTACATTCCTCTTAAATAAAGAATATTAAACATTGCATGAAAAGCAATACTTAATAAACACGAGGGATCAGAACATCATGTAAAACCAAACGAATTCTTTATTTCATTTCTAAGAATCATGTCTCTTGATTTCCATCTCTACTTCTAGAAATACAAATTATTCTCATGAAAAATAATAAGGAAAGCTGAAATTATGAAACAGAAGTATATTTTGAAATCAAATGAAACTAGTGGTACTACAATAGCACATTCTTTCTCCCATTATTTCTACCTGCCCTGCTTTGTTATACTTCTACATGAACCTACAAGAGTTTTCAACGAACAATTTTTCTCCACTGAGATTCTAATTGAGATCCTCTGATTTAACTAGTCGTGAGCCTTACCTCTACGCCAATGAAACTGTGTGTGTCGAAATCCGGCCGATGTGTAAAAATGTATTTGTCTCAATATTTCCAACACGCAATTTTCCAAAATTCAGAGAGTTCAAAGGAAATGAGACCCACATCATTATTTTAAGCGTCCCTTGTTTTATACTTGCGAAAAAAAGAAATAAAAAACTTAGACCAGTTTTTGAAAAGAAAAAGAATGTAATCTGCATTAATTTGAACTGAAAGTTACGTAATAACTACGCGTTTCTTTAAAAAATTGCATTTGCCTTTTTTTTAAAGCGAATCTTTTAGAATAGATTTTGTTTAAGTCAAAAATCTCTATCTTCAATTTTCTAATATTGAAATTGTCAAAATTAGTGTTAAAAATGGGACTAGCATCGTATTTTTACCGTCCGTTGTTACATACGAGGTGAAAATTTAAAGAAAAAAATTTCGATCGGTTTTTGAAAATATATTTTTTTTAGAAATAAATGCAATTGCGAAATGGAATATGAGAAATCTCTTCCTTTTTTCAAAAAAATGTATTTGACATGTTTTAAAGAGTTAATTTTTTACGTAGTGTTTAAAGAGTTGTTTCATACTGTTATTTCACATATAAGTACGCGAAAAACTACCCATATTTTAAAACAATTGTAAATGGCAATTTTAAAGATCTAATTTTGAGGAACACGTATCATTAAGAAAATAAATTCTATCTTCAAAATGTAGTTGATTGAGGAAGTCCAAAAAATGTTTAAACATTTGCAAGTTTGGCAAACACAGAGGTGTGAATGATAATGTAGAGACATCTTTTTACAAGCGAACATTGTTCGCTTGAGGTTCCAAAAAAACTTAAAAAGGCCATTGTTGAAAAAATTTCAATCGTGTCGTTGGAACTCACCGGCTGAGGAGGCTCAAGGCAACACTCCAGTGCCTCTGACCGGGAAGTCCTAGGGTTCGAGTCCCGAGGGTGGCAGGATTTTCCACACTACCTCCATAGCTATGTATTCAGCCGCTGTCTGGAGGAGAATTCTAGCTGCCGGCTGCTCTGATCGGTAGTTTTCCGTGGATGCTCCGATCAACACCAGGCGAATTCCTGAGCAGTACACTAACGAACGGTCACGGATCGTTTCCTTCCTCTTCTTTTTCCTATCCCTCATCCCTTACACACACTTACGCTTACATTCACTACATTACCACAAATGTCTAGAGAAGAGTTGGAAGTCTAGTCCCAGCT